ACGTGAATACCTCTTTTTCCTTCAGTTTTGTTTTTGCTAAAATTTACCATAATGCCATTAATGACTTCGGGTCGCGAACCGAGTCATTTTGCAGGATCCGCGTGTGTGTCCGAAACCAGTTAAAAAAAATGTCCGAAATTGATCCTAACATTACTGAAATTACCATTTTATAATTCCAAAATTACCCATTTCAATTGAATTTCTATAGTTTTAAACCAATGGCAATTTCAGTAATATTATATATGATTTTAGACATTTACTCTAAATGACTTCTGTTTTAATAGTATTGAGATATGTTGATTTGAGACTTTGTTATCTATAAATATATATAGTTTTGTAGTTTTGTATTTAATCACTCACCGACACCGCTTTATTAATCAGATACTTTTTTATACTTTCAAAAATCAAATATAATATTTTGAATAAATCATATACTCCAAAATTTATCCTTATTTACTACTCTTGTTTAATGTCTTTTACCGAAATAAGATATTCTCGTTGACTTTTAATATTCTAAGAGCATCCATATTGGTGGAATATCTCCAAAAGAGTTCTAATTTACATAAAAATAATTTTTTGATATTATTCAATTATATAATTAAATTTTGATATCTAAAAAGAAATTGAACCAATTCAAAACTTACAAATCGCATTAGAGTTTTTATTGAGTTTCTTCGTATCAAAAACTTACTCTCATACTTTTTTTTCCTTTTTCTCATTTATTTTTAATGTTTAGAACCCCAATGGATTTCTCCCACTAAAGATACTCTAACAATTATTTGATACTTCATTAGATGATTCAGTAAATAACATCATCTAAACTTCTTTTTTTTTATTCTCTCATGTGGTTTATATGCATTTTTATTCATTTGTTCTTATATTTATATTCATTTTACAGATTTTCAATTTTTGAAATTTAAATAAGTAAACAACTATCTTTGTCATAAACTAATAGTGTTTATACTACTCTCAAATGGAATACAATATAAGTGAATATAACTTTTGTTATAATTTAATATTTACAATAATAAAATACTCAAATATTCTTGTATATATGTAGTACTTTTGATCATTTATTTACTTATATTTGTTTTTAATTTAATACAAACTTTTTTAGTAGTTTTAAGTAACAATTAATATACAAACATGAATTAAATTAAGCATTTAAAATAATTTTATTGTTAAAAAAATATTTTGCTTAGGTGGACATCCTAAATGTAGAGAGAACTCCCTAATTATATAATAGATTTTAAAGTATCAACATTTAATTGATAATATTTTTTCTAATTTTTCATATAGAAGTAGATGAAATGAGCAACTCCATCGCGATTTATTCCCTGCTTTGACTTTTACGGATAATAGTTTTAAGTAAACAAATCGCCATAGTTAAGAAAATAATTGATAATTTTTTTACCTGATCGGATAAATAATTGACAAGAAAATAAGTCACGATTCATTTAAACAATTTTACCTCATCGAGAGTAAATCGTAATTATAGTTGATAAAATAATTGATGATATTTCTTTTTCTATTTTGAATATTTTAAATTTCCTGATTTGAAATTTACCGATAAAAAATGAGTTGATTACTCCAAATTTTGATTAGAAAGTGGATAGTGGTTGGGTTAGACAAGATATACTTCTTGATGTTATCAGATCACTAATCGGCAAACATTTTTCGTATCAAATTATGTGATATATATTGAATTGTCAGATATTTATAGGTTTGGATATGCAATGCTCCAAATTGATTTGGGAATTATCAGTTAAAAACAAGAAGTTGGGTTTATGTTTTTTTTTTTTGTTTAAACTTAGGGTGGGGTTAAATCGCGGGTCAAGTTATTGATTGAGTCAGAACTTGGTTTTAGTTTGTCATTACGGTTTAAACAGAGTTAGTGTATAAAATCGGTTTGGAATAGAAAACGCGAAATTAAAACCATGTGTAGTTCCTGGTTTAAAAGTATCAATTGGAAGAATACAAATTGCAAAACTCAAACATGTGTAGCTTTAGAGAAATGCTCATATAGTGATGTTATATGAAAGTTGTTGGGTGATATCAATGCCTAGTGCCTAGAACGCATAATTGGAACCTGACGATTTAATATGCGGTCTAAACGTTTCACAACAATACATATAGTAAAATATATAAAAAAAAACTAGAATTTATAAATAACAAAAT